GTAGGATGCTTTTTTAATGAATCATCTAATATTACCGGTTGAAACATTTGAAAAATATCGAATGGTTTCGTTATTCTGACTGCACACTGTACATGCACGTATGTATGTAGGTATGCCCTGTCTGCCTGATAGACCCGAATCGGCCAAGTTGGCAAGCGCGTTTTGAGGTCAACAGAGCGAACGCTGCGGCCAAAGTAATAGGCAGAAAGTAAAATGCATAAGGGCGGTCCTGCAGCGAGCGCATTCAGGCATTCAGTTCGTGCGACAAAAGTCAGCCAGAGCCAGGGCACAGTACGGACAAACCCACTAAACAACACAACTGAGCCACCTCTTGAGTTATTAGTAGGCCACTTGAGGGCGTGCGGAGATGCTCTACAAGTGCATGGCGCCAACGACACGACAACGGTAGCTCGCTTGGCCACTTGAGCAACAACAAAGGAATGTGCATAAGAATAAGGTAACCTAAAAACACACAAACACACTCACTCACTCAAAACGCACTGTACATAGCAGCATATACTCGTGCGAGTATATAAAGCTGCGATTTCAGCCTGCCCGAAGGCAAGAAACGCACTTCAAGTCGCCAGTCTGTACAGCACCGACTGGCCAAGGCGCAACCTATTTTATTTGCTACACATCTATGCAGTTGCATGTGTGCGTTTGTGTGTGTGTGTGTGTGTGTGTGCATTGGCTGAAGGACGTTTCATGGTTTAAAGGCTGATGCTGCTGCTGCAGCTGCAATGGCGCCCATTACTGCAGTGAAAACCGAAGTACAGCTTGCCTGGCTCGGCTCCTGCGCAGGACTCCATGGCTGCTCACAGATACATTCACACAAGCTAGAGACACACTCACACAAAGCAAAAGCAAACTAGGTCAACAGCACTGGACGCCGATGGGCCTGCAACGACAGCATAGCGACTAAATCGCACGCAGCACGCTCACGCGTCACTCACTTCGTCTCTCTGTCTCTTGCTCTCTCCCTCTCGCTCGCGGCTGCTGTTTGCAGACAGCATTCAGTGTTGCCCTCGCCACCCACAAAAAAAAAAAAAACACACACAGTAGGGGTTGTCACAGAAACTTCCAGGGCGATATTTGCAGCTGTGTGTGTTGCCGTCGTCATCGTCGTCGTGTCGCGAGCGCTGTCAGAATGTTGATTATATAAGCTCGACACATTGACCCGCCCCCTTTTTTCGGGGAACGCTGCTCGCTGTTCTGCGGCAGCAACAGCAGCAGCTGCTCGCTTTATACTTTTTACTGCATTTCCTTGCAGACGACGACAACAACATCCAAGAGCAGCAGCCATTGACGCATTTCGTCCACCTGCCCCAACCGCGCAATGTTGGCACTCTTTAAAGCGACCTCTTCATCATGTTACCCAAAACTATCGCATGTCACATCGAGCGCCTTCAATCGTATCGGCAGCCCATCGAAAATAACAATAAATAGCGAATAAATAAATACACGAGTAAGTAAATAGCGCAGACGACAATCAAGACAGCTACACAAATAAATTGTTTGAAAACTAATAAACAACTACTTGTATGTACACACATATGTACTTTAGAAGTTATGCATGTGTGTACAACAAAATGGCCGCATGTGCGTGTGTGACTACTTTTGAGAAAGAAACTTACATGCATATGTATTATACTCATATACATGTACATGTACGTATGTATAGTATGTATGTACGCTCTGGACCTGTTCTCTATGGGCCCAATGACAACAACAACATCAATAACAAAAAGCAATATCAATAGTAAGTTAATTAATAGCAATGCCAACAACGATGACAAGCACATACATACTTATATGTATATTTGTTTACTTCTGTTCCTATTGTGTGTTCAATCCTAGCTCATTTCTAACCAGTTATATTTATTTAAAATTGAAAAGAAAAACAATATGCAGTTAACTAAAAATACACACCAGGTAAGCTATTGAATAAAACGAAACAGTTGTTTCTTGAACACTAGAACTATGTATTGTTTTCCCTTTTCAGTTCGAGGTATACTCTCACGTAAATCTTTGTCTTGATTAGTACTAAGCCAACCCAATCCAATAACAATGTAACTACAAGTATGAAGCCCGTTTCTAAACCGTGATTCTCACCCAATTAAATACTTGACCGAACAATAAACAAAAGCTTGAGAGCCAGAGCCACAAATTTGTTTTCCAACAGCTTTATATTTGTATGCATTTAAATAATTCAGCTTGAACTATAGTTTCTATTGGAGTGTCATCCCTTAACTTTGAATTACTTTCTGTGTCTTTAAAAACTCTTAGAATAGGAGTACATCAAGACCATCTAAAAAGCTTAAAGCACAGAGAATACGAGTATAATAGGAATGCTATAGTTAATCTTAAACTTAATATGATATTAAGAATTATTGATATTCCTAAAAGTTTCTGGAAAATTCAAGCCTAACTTGTGAAGTTAAAAGATTTCAAAAGTGCACATGCAAACCTCATATACAAAAAGTTCAAACAGTTCGCCTGGATCTCATATGGCGTTTCTTCATTTTAGCTTGTTTCTTCTAATTATGCAACGTATTATTTAATATATATAAATAAAATAATCGTCACACCAAAACCAGAAGACGACGTTATACAATTAAGACATTCCACAAGTGTTAAGCCAAAACAAAACACGTTTGTTCACGAGCCAGTGTACAAACATGACAGCAACAACGGCACAGACGTTGTTTCAAAGTATCTTTCTGAATATCATGAGATTAATATATCGCATTTGTCCAAGCGGGGGCGAGCAGCGGCACAAAACAGAGAAACATTTTTCTAATATTTCCACATTTGCTATTTTTATGACTATGATGAGACGCGACAACACACCACGACAGGTACTTTACACAAAGCTTCGTCGGACGAGCTATAGCCGTTTACGCTTTAGTCCGATAGTTCGACTTAACTCAGCGGCAACGCAACGCGTCGCCAGCTCACCTTGAAGGCAGCTGGTTTCGAGTCGATGGCAGCGTCAGCGGCTCACAAATCATGAAAAGTTTCTGTATTAGTTAATAGTCGTCCAGGGTTGGCTAAGATGGTTGGGGGGAGAGGGGGAGGGGTGATTGGTAGATATCTACAGCTGTGTGCGTGTCCAAGTCGTGGTCAAACACTATTGTGTATAGTTTGGTAATGGGAGCCCCATAGCTAACACACAAAGCGTGCTAATCTTGGACTTTGCATATGAATGGATGAATGAGTGACCCAGAGAGCGATACTGCCCAGCATCTTGGCTGCTTGGATTCGAATGCCCCCCTCATTATGCGCTTTTCAGCCTCTCGAGTATACAACAATATGGCGCATCGCACAGTTCACGGCCAACATTAGCAATCAGTGACATAAGCGGGGGGTTAGTGTGTAGGCACTCATGAAAATATTTGATAAGGCATAGATTCTCAAAAAAATATGTTTATTTAGCCGCAACAAAATGATAGAATTTAGGGGAACATGCCAACATTAAGGATTGAGAAAATCTGTCATTAAGTATAGACATGTACATGTGTAGTCTGTTTCATAAAACAGATCATCGGTTACACATATAAACTCACATCATAAACTAAAATTGTTGTTGTTTTCGAATTTGATAATCAACGCCGATTATTGTGCTCAATAATAGCACATTAAATAAGGAATAAAATACTACAATTTTCTCAACTGTGGGATGCACATTAACTTTGCGTATATAATTACTAATCGGATACTTATTTATTTAGTGTGTTAGACACTAAACGACAATTAAGTATAATGCTCGACAATCCTTATTGACGAATGCGGATCTAGTGCTTGAAATATACTCTAAAGATTCTACTTAGTTTCTGTATAGTAAGTAGCCCCCTTCAATATATGTATATCTTTGCTGCGCTAATAGTGATGGCAGCAGCAGCAAAAACAACAACAGCAACAGTAGCAGGAGCAGCAACGACATTAGTGGCCAAGTACACTTTGTATGCATGTGCGAAATGGAAGTGCAAATTGCGTTTGGCGCGCTTTTAATTGCAGCTGCTGCAACTTACTTACTAATTGCGCAGATAATGGCGGCGAATGTTTGTAAACGAAATTGAAATGCTTGCCCAGGCTAACGCCGGGGCTGAGGTCATACGGAAAATGGGTCGAACTAGGCCAGGAAGTGTAGGGTGAAACAATTAGTGCGGCGTTTGTCTGTTCGTCTGCCTGCCTGCCTGCCTGCCTCACGTTCTGTCTGTTAGTTGGGGCATGTGTATCTAGTAGATGTATACATGATGGCAATGGAGTGGAGAGGAGAGGACAAGGGAAGGATGTCGGACTGTCACAATTTCGAACATGTGCACTATTTACTACTTATGCACTTTTGACGTTGCCCAGCACTGGGCTCATGTTTTTGAGGGCTCATGGGGCGTATGCGCAATCTGATTGCCTTTTGCACTTAATTACTGTGAATGGCAACTGTGTGTATGTGTGTGTGTATGTATGTATGTATGTATGTTTGCGAAAGAATTCGTACATTGAGCTGACGTTTTGTATTTTTTTTTTTTTTTTTGTTAATTGAAACCGAACACAGAAAGAAAATGAAGAGCTCAAACAAAAAAAACTTGAAAATGTTCATCGGGAGCTTTGGCGTACAGCAATGGGAAGCTAGAATTAGGCGACAAGTGTTAGGGGAGGGGGTGAATGAAGTTGAGGGGTGTCTGTGGCTTGTACAGAGTCGAAAACATAACTAGAAAATATGCAACACGATTGGCACGATTAGTTAGGCAGAACACAAATTCAATGAGTTATTTTTACGCACCATTAAGATAAAAAGAGAGACTGGGAGAGAGCGACAGAGGAGGAGAGCGAGACAGTTCGATAGAGAGAGAGAGAGAGAGAGAGAGCACGAAAAATGCATGTAAGAGTGACGAATATTGTTTAAATTTCTTTTGGTTTAATTTCATTTTTCTTTTTGCTGTTTTTTTTTTTTGTGATGATATCTTGAATGGGCTTTGGATTTGATTTGCAAAACTTACCGGAACTGAAATGTGAGCGTTTAGATTGTTCATTTTCCGGATCGGAATCGAGGGGCCTTTTGCGTGAGTCCCCCATTTCAGGGCTCGGGCATGTCTCCATAGCAGCGTCTTCGGCCATTTTTAAGTGAATGTTGCTGGTTTTTGATGGATTGAATTGAATTAGATTTAGATTTAGCTGCCTTGGCTTTTTGGTATTTTGTTTTTGTTTTTGTTTTGTTTGGGTCTTTCAATTCGATCAAATTGTTATGATCTAAATTGGTTGTTGTCGTTGTTGCTGTTACTATTGTTGTTGATCTATCATGCGATTTAGTTGTTGTAGCTGAATTGTTTTGTAGTTTAGGTTTGTTTGGGTTTTGGTTCCTTTTGGCAAGTCTTTTGCAAAACGAAACGCTCGTGTGTTGTAATAATGAGGCGGCTGTATTGGTTGTTTTTGGTTTCTTAGAATGGTGCGAGACGAGCTAGTGAGCGAGACAGAACGAACGATCTGATACGGCGCAGAGTTTGGCATATGCTTTTAATTATGTCTATGTTTCAGAGTTCTTCAAATCGCATCTGAAAAATTGATTGTATTGATTGTTGGATGAGTTGGAGTGCGCGTACTTTGGGCTACTTGGTGATGAAGCGGAGCCGGTCTCGTCGTCCTGCGAGTGTCAGTAGTAATGAGTGGATGAGTAGCTGCTGCTGCTGATTTGATTTGTCGCTCAAGCTTAAGCTGGCTTGTTTTATGGTTTATGCGTTTTTGCACACAGAGACACTAATTTATTTATGATCTGTGATCTGAATTCTGTAATCTGTGATCTCTCTGTTTCGCTTCAGGCTTTACAAAATGAAACACACACGCAACGTTCCCCTAGGCTAAAGCTAGGTATTGGCTCTTCGTATTAGTCCTTCTACGTAATTTGGCATACGGTTTTTGGATTTGGATTTTAGATTACGTTTGTTTTTTATTTTCATTTATTTATTTAGTTTATTTTTTGTTGTTGGTGGTTTTGTGGTGGAATGTGCGATTTTTTGTTTGTATGAAAAAAAGAAAAGGAAAAAAATATTTATGAGTGAATTATGCAGCAATAATAAATACATACAGTAAACATTTAGGAATACAATATATATGTATAATTATATATTTCGTATATTATTGAAATGCATTTCAAGTATTAAATTGTATTTACATTATATAGATACTAGTATGCAAAATATTAAATACTACACATGTACATATATACAAGATGAGAGATTTCAAATAGCGCTATACATTGCTTGGACTGTTGGTGTTTGGCGTGGTGGATGTGAAGAAGGAGGGGGAGGGGCAGCAATACTTAGTCATTCTCAAAAAGCTATCAGTGCAGCAGATGAAACATAACAACAAGGGAGACTTTACAAGAGGGCACATTTTTATGTACACATAGCAATTGAAATATGAGAAGCAAAGCGGGGGGTAAGCAAAACATACATATGTGGAAAATGTAGCCCCTCCCCAATGCGAATAGCTTCATGAAGGCTGATATAGTCAATAGCCTTAGAAGTTTCACAGTGAAAGCCGTACAAATGCCGATATTCGATAGGCATCCGTACTCTTGTCCACATCTAATTAACATATCTAATTAAGATTAAGACATCCTGAAATCATTCAACACTAACAGAATTCCGAAAACAATTGAACCAAACAAGTTTCAGAGTTATGCTTAAATGTGCTTCAAAGATCGTTCCGACCAGACAGACAGAACCAAATCGATTCTCTTAATTTTATATAAGAAATAATTATATCATTAAATAAAATATTCTCAATTTTTTTCCAATGGAATAATAATTGTATTATATACATTTTTCATGTGTTTTGTTCAACCTGTTTCCAATTCCTTATTAATTTAACGGAATTGAAAAACAGAATAAGAAAGACAAGTTTTCAAAATGTTTCAGTCCCATTTTAGAGAGTAATTTGATTTTAAAGAGATTCCTTCACTTTTAAATATGTTAAATCCCATGCTATTCGACATTATAGTAATTTGTAAAGATGTTTAAATCAAAGCATTCCTATTAATTTTATTGACCAAAGCACCAATCCGCTGTGAACGCAATAATTGCAAAAAATCACTATTTCGGATTGTGCGAGAACGGAAATAGGACTGTATATTCCGTTTGTGTATTTGTTCCAAAGGCATCCATTTCTGGATGGGATCTAATGACAGACAAGACAGACGTAAACAGAGATTAAAAATTGTTGTATACCTTGTGTTGTTCTAATTAGTTCTGACTTCTAGTGGATATGTGGGCATCATTCAGAGGAAAATATATTTACTATAATTGAATTCATACTAGTCGGTAACTAAAATTAATCATTTATTCATAAAAGTTGTACATTTATGGCATAACTTGTTAAAATGGAAGACGAATTGATACTAAAGCTTTATTACAGAATATGTTCCCGATATTTCTCGAAAGAGCTTAAAAACCCCACAATCCTCTAAGTATTTGAAGAGGTGAGAGATCCATAATAGATACACTTGTAAGTATGTTTTGTTCAGTGCACGCGGCAATGAAAATCAAAATTATAACTTGCATTTCATTTATGCACGAGCTGGTTTTTTTTTAATTTTTATTATGATTTCATTGCTAATTAAAAATGCGTCAAGACAGAAAACAACAACAGCAGTGCAGCAGCAGCAACAGTAGCAACAACAACAAAAACAATAGCAAAGACGACGGCGACGGCTACGATAGCGTCGCGCATTTATTTGTTTAAAATGGCGTTTAATTATACAAATATTTTGGTCGTTGTTGCTGTCGCTGTAGTGGTTGGCATACACTTGATTATAGCCCGCTATATATGCACTCGAATGTGTTTGTGATTGTGTGTGTGTGTGTGTGTGTGTGTGTCTGTGTTTGATTCGACTGCAAGCGACCTTGACCATTAAACAAATTTTTTCGAAAGCAGCAGCGGCAGCGGCGGCGAGTGTAAAGCAAAATGAGCAATAAATGGAAGAAGCAGCGAAAATATCAAAAAGCAATAGCAACAAAGGCAACAACGACAACAGAAGCACCAAAGAAGACATAATTCAATGCTAACACTTTAACGCAGTCTTCTCCGCATCTACCATACATAGTATACTATACTACTGTCCCATAAGATACGTTTTTCAAGTATCTCCCCCCGGCATGAGTATTCGAACATACATATGTACATACGTGTATCTATATTTGTGTATGTATTTATATATATTTTATGGCACCTGTCACGAAAAACCAAAAGCAAGAACAAAACAAAAAAACAGGTAAACCGCACAAATTTGCATTTACTTAAAAATATTTAGTAAGCAACGACAACAACAATATGAACAACAATAAGAAGAAAACTAAAATCAATTTTAGCAGATGCCTCAGAACGGGTTTTCTGTTTCAGAACCAGTCAGTTTTGCGCGCTTAGAATTTCATTATTTCGATTAATTAATTTCTCAACGAAGGGGAAAATCCCCGCCCAGCCCCTTATCATCACCATTGTCTAGGGGCCAGAAGCAAAATGGCGCACAACGTTCGATATAAAGCCAGCCAGCAATGCAAACTTGGCAATAAAACTGCAACTGCCACATTCGCCAGGCCAAATAATAAAGAAAAAAATGTGAAAATACTTGCCACATGCAACGAATTTATATTTTTAAGGTGAGTGAGTGTGTATGTGTTTTGTGTGTGTGTGTGTGAATGGCTGGACTGGCCCCTAAAACTTGCAGCGCCCGATTTGGGCCTGGGCCTGCATTTTGCTTTTCGTGCCGCCTTCTCCTTTTTCTTTTTCTCTCTTAGCTGCCGCTTCTAAAGCACGCAAAGTGCTTAGCCTTTGTAAATGTATATGTAAATACATATGTATGTATGTACATATGTACGTGTTTGATGTGTCCTTGAAATGTATGCACAGAAATAATAGAAGAATATATTATTACATATGTACATATTGTACATAGTATGTACTCAAACAACAACAGAAATAATACATAAGTAAGAGAACAGCAGCTGAGAATATTGCGCTATGTGGGCAAGCAGGCTGGCAGCTTGATTAGATGAACGCGAGACTCTGACGTTGACGTTAACGTTGCTGTTGCTGCTGCTGCTGCAGTCGTCGTCATTGGTGCATTCAAGCCGAAAATGTGTTAATGATGATGAATCTGAAGCAGCTGTGGACGGAGGCTTTGCATAACAAACGAACTAAATGCACTTTTCAATCAGCACGAGGACTTTTACGCGTCGACAGTCAAGAATGGCAAGCAAACGAAAAGCGCCGTTGAATTTCGCATTATTGATCAATTGCGATCACGACCTAAATCTTCAAAGCGTTCCATTTGCCTTGAATTTGCTTTACAACAATTTGCTTCTTATATCACTTTTTCGAAACCAAAACTTTGACCTAGTTGGTAATATACAGATGTACAATCTCAGTATTAGTCGTGAATAATAAATACCACTGTATAATTTTTTTTTTTTTCAAAGTGGTTCAAAACCCATTTTTACAAAATACACAAAATACACCATTTTTACACATATAAGTATGTATATTTAAATTTTAAAGAGGAATAAAAAAGAATTGAGAACATCTTACCAACATTAAGGCGTTTCAAAATTTCATTTATCATGTACAAAACGATATTGCCTTTTTATAAGCAACTATTAAACACACGAACAAAAAAAAATTCTACTATATACCCCATCCCAGCTATGATTCGCTCTTCATCGGAAACTTCTAGAACTATTTATTTTTCTGGGAATGTATCGCATATGTTGTCAGACATATTTACATATATCTATTAATAAATATAAAACATACATATTTACCAATGTAGGAAAATTCCATTTATACTAGACCAAGCACTTTTTACTTCCACATTAGTAAGCACATTACTAGAGAAATAAGTTAACTGGTTTAAATATCAGTGCTTGATATTTTTCTATGTTCAAGTGATCATTTACAATAATTTTGTTAATTTCCTTAAGTCTCTCTAAATAAGTATATTTTAAGATGTTTGAAAATATAAAAGAGAACAACAACTATTAGAATAATAAATAATGAAGGTGTGGTGGTCGCAATAGAACAAGTTACATTTGATATCAAAACGGTTTGCTTTTTGACATCAAAAATATTTGTTCCGAGTGGACAAGCGAATCAAGGCTTCGATGAACTAAACTTGTATACAAATATATAGAAAAACTAATATAAAAGGTGCACAGTAATATATACTTATAGAAATATCATTAGAACACGATCGGCAATAAAAATACCGTCCATAAGAAAGCTGATTTTCACAGCAAGTTTTCAAGTTACCAATAGTTCTGCCTGTCTGTGCAAATAACAAAATGATAGGCATTATTTTTGTCCGGCATATTTTGTTGATATCACAAGGCAACAATCAGCGTACAAACATGTCCATATATTTGTGTTGTACACATCCACCCAAGTACTTATGAGTACAAAACTCATGTGTATGTACATACATATGTATGCTTCTTGCTCAAGCATACATATACTGTATATGTATGTATGTCGGAATGACTTATCTCGTCGGCGCCCTTATCACTCGAGCGGAGACGATAAGGCATTGGCGATAAGGCAGCAACTAAGCAATGAGAAACGAAAGGCGCCTCAAAATACAATTCTGTTCGTTATGTATAGTACGAGAATATGTGTATTTACAAAACAAATTTCAGAAATTGTAGCTTTGCAATCGAGCGGCCTGAGTTTGGGGCTGGGGAGCAGAGACCTACGTTGCAAGTGCGGGTTCGGTTGACATGCGACACAATTTTCCACATCCAATTGGAATTTGACAGCCCGCAGACATGGCATCGATTTCAGTACTTAAAGTTAAAGTTCGTCCCATATGCACACACACACACACACCATATTCTGTACATA